GTAATGATGTCTTTATATTTCTTTACTGTTTTCTTTACTTGTTAGTTAGGATCAATAATTAGTGATCTACAATTTGAGACATATGGTATATACATGAGAGTTTTCTTGTTTGGATTATTTCGCTCGACGTACTACCGCGCCCAGAAGTCCATAGGGCCTCGGACTCTATTAGCGGGCTACCTTGCCCTTTGGTTGAAGAAATGTGTCGTCCCGCACCAGCCTTCCGACGCTCTACCCATCGAGGTGCTCTTCCCTGCAGTTCAGCTGGCTTACGGGAGAGAGCTTTCCTACATATGGTATATACATGAGAGTTTTCTTGTTTGGATTATTTCGCTCGACGTACTACGTCTCGTGTTGTGGATTTCTAATTGTTGATTTTATTTAGATTGTTTATCTCTAGATTGGTATTAATGTTTAGGCATCTATAATTTAAGACATATGATATATACATGAGGGTTTCCTTGTTTGGATTATTTCGCTCGACGTACTATGTCTCGTATTGTAGGTTTTTAAATATTAATTTTACTTAGATACGGGGGGAAATGATCTAGGTTGACTATGCTTAATAGATAGAGCATTCACTCCACCTAGTAGCCCTACCCCTGGGGGCGGATGGAGGTAATCTTGTTGTAGCGCTCTGACGCTCTTGTTGTTATTTTTTTGTTATTTTCTTTTTTTCCATGCGGTACAGAGGTACGGAGAACCACAAGATGACGAAGTTCTTGCATAGTCGCCATCACATAAAATTTTAGAGACTCCACAGTAGATTTTTATTATTTTATTCAGACAATAGAGTTTCATTCTCATATTGTAATGGCAGTGTGCCTTAGTACGATTCTAGTTGATTCATGTTGACATTCTCTTTATTTCAGTTATCGGATGGCCGGGTTACGGTTGAGACATGATTCTTTTATTTATGAGATATCTTTTCTATATCATGTCTATTGTGTTCATTCTCATATTTTGTCTGTTATGTATCTGCACTTTTATTTGATTCCATTAGCGGATATTATTGTGATTGGTGAAACGTGTTTATGTACGGTGTGGGTGCATGGCAGGTTTGACATCTCTGGGTTCATCTTGGACTGCAGCATTGTGTGAAACCAGGGGCGTCACAAGGAGATAATGGTATTTTGGAATTTTTTATTTTTTATCATCTCTCTATGCTTAGTTGACGTGTAATAATTGCTAAAAGATGGTTGCAACACATGATGTGACACTTCTTGTGGTTAAACCACATGGGAAAAAAGTAAAGGGGCTGCAACACATTAATATATTGCTTTTGAGGTCTTGACACTAGTTTCCTAAATTGTAATATTACATTTTCAGAAAACTATATCTTAAATACTTTCTAGCTCTTTTGAGCAATTTTAAACTTCAAGATATAAAGTTTAGGAAATCGATGAAGCTCTAGAACATTGAAATCCAATTAGCTCTTTTTATATATGGATAAATAATATATAATATCCAGTAGACTATAATAATTGACAGATTAGTTTAGTGGTTGGACTTGTTTAGCGGAACAGAAAGCAGCCCAGAATTTGTCCTTGCTTGAAAAACAAGTAAAAGCTTAAACTAGCTTTGTTAGGTAAATTTATGGCATAAATTTGAGTAAGGATTGTCCCGGGACTAGGATCAAAGTGGCTTAGGCTAGTTTGATTTGGAGATTTAATTCATGTTTGTATTTGAATTTGGCGTATACTCTTCAATGAAAGATGGACACAGACCCAATATTTGAACTGACAGTTGTACTAAATTATATAGAGAAGTGATATTTAAAATTTTGGGTCGGATTACAAAATATTCTATAGCTTCAACAACTCCCCCCCGGTCAATTCCACTGTTGCACAGAGGTCAATTCAACTGTTGCACTGTCCTGTCAATTGTAAAAAAAATTGCTAGATGTAAACCTCTGATATAGTAAAGATTCCCATTGTGTCCCATCCTCAGTAAACTAATGGCGAGTAAGCAACCATTCTATCTTCAATGATGTCAAGGTAGGCAGGGGTAAGCAATCTTCGGTTAAGGGCCCGTTCGTTTGCCTAAAAAAAGAAAGAGGAAAATCAAAGAAATGAAAAACTATTAAAATGAAGAATTGTTTTTTTAGTGTTTGGTTGGCTAAAAAAGAAGGAAATCAAAGAAATAGAGATGAAATAATGTTAGTTGTCACATTATTATTGGATGATGTGAGTGATTTTTTAAGAAAACTAGTTTTGATGTTGTTCGGTTGGCGAAAAAAATAAGGAAATGAATTATGAGAAACATATTTCCTGTAGTTTATTGTTTTCTTTTGTTCGGTTCATTCTAAAAAATAAGAAATGAAATGAGATGAGATGAGTTGTCATTGTATTATTGGGTGATGTGATCCAAGATTAAGAAAAGTGTTTTCACAACTTTTTGGGATGAAAACAAAGAAATGAAATGTTAATGAGATGAGGTGAATTGTTATAATATTTTATTGGATGATGTGAGTGATTTGAAATGATGAGAAGAGATGAGTTGAGTGATGTTTGGATGAAAATAATATTTTATTAGATGTGATGGATGAGTTGTTAGATGAAAATAATATTTTATTAAATGTGATGGATTAGTGGTTAGATGAAAATAATATTTTATTAGATGATGTGGATGAGTTGTTGGATGAAAATAATATTTTATTAGATGTTGTGGGTGAGTTTTAGGGATAAAAATGGAGGAAATAGAACTTTTTGAGATTTTCACCTTTTCCATTTTCATTTCTTGGTTTTTAGAAAACAAACGAACATGCCCTAAAAATAAATAAATTTCTTCAATTTCTTAACTCTTTTAAAAGTAAATAAGCACCCATTCTATCTTCAATGGTGTCAAGGTAGGCAGGGGTAAGCAATCTTCGGTTAAACATAAATAAATTTCAATTCCTTAACTCTTTTAAAAGTAGATGGATTATGAGGGGAAGTGTTAGATTTTAAGGAATTACTCTATTCTCTTTCTATTTTTTACTCTAATTAAACATAAATTAGTTTCATCACTCTTCCTCCTCTTCATTCCTTCCATAAAGGTGCTTTTGACATCCGTTTAAAACTAGGTTAGGATTAAATCTGGCCCCACTTTTGAGTGATTTCTAGTTTGACAAAGAATAAAGCCAAAGCCATAGTTGGCCCTAATTTTGTAGGCCAAAATTTGGCTACTAAACCGGTTCAATGTTGGATTACCTCTCTCCTGGTCGAAAATATAATTGATTTAGGATAAAACATTGACAAGACCGGTATTGACCTAGTTTTAAGTGGTTTGCCTAATTGTCTATCCAAACATAATTAGTTACGTTACACTTCATTTCCTCTCCTTTTCCTCCCCTTGCGTTTAGATCAATCATCGCCCTCCCCTACCTTGTTCTCTATTCAAACTAACTATAAAAAAACAACAACTTCAATTCGGTTCAATTTAATGTATTAGAAACCGAAACAATTGACCTGACCATGCTCAACTAATTGTCTAGAACCGATGCTCTTTCTTGGTGAATAGATAATTTGTACTAAATTTTTTATATATCTTAGCTGATAAATGTTTAATTTTAATTTGTAAAATCTTTGATTTGATGAGTTTTCTCTTCACTTGGAATATGAGATGGGTGGAAGGTTTGAAAAAGTAAGAGTATTTGTCTTTTAGCTAAAAACTCTCATATTTTGATATGTCAAAGCTCAAACTAAACAAACTGAATCGAACCAATTAAATTACCGATTCAATTAGGTTTGGTTCGGTTTGACAAAAGTCAACCATAGTTACATGATACCACTGAATTGCTTATTTTATACATAATTTATTTATTTTTTATCTGTATTTACTATTTAGAATACTGTTAAAATTAGGATAGGGCATCTGTAGAATTGGGCACAACAACGAAGAAGTTCAGGTAAAAAGGCGAAGGACAGATTTTGGGGTGACTTGCGGTCGACCGCGAGTGGAGCGGCGGTCGACCGCGAACGTGCACATCACAGGGGAAAGTCTCTGGACTTTTTGCGGTCGACCGCAATGTCAGGTTCGGTCGACCAACCAAACTCTGTAGTGATTATTGGTTTATGTCGTTGGTTTCGGTCGACCGCACGTGTCACTGCGGTCGCCCGCGAGTCGGGTCTGGACCTGCTTCAATTTATTGCACGGTTTGGGTTTTCTATTTAATATAAATAGAAACACGATTTGTTTAGGGTTTATCGATCATAATGATTGAGTTTTGCGGTAGTTTGAAGGAGAGTTTTGAGTACAGAAAAGAGAGTTCTTTCTGAACAATTTGTTTGAGGGTTTTGTGAGAGATTTGAGAGTTTAGTTTGAGAGATTATTTGTGAGCTTTTGAGTGATCTTGTAATCTCTGTTTTGTATTCACTTTCTCTATTGTGAAAACTCATCCCCTTCTTGCCCCGTAGACGTAGGCAATTTGCCGAACCACCTTAAACTTCGGTGTTTGAGTTTATGCTATTATTAGTTGATTTGTGTACCTTCTCTCTCGGTAAATTTGTGAATCCTCAGAACACGCGCAACCAGAATGACAAAATTGTCTAATTATCAATATAAATTTAAAATACAATCATGATTAATTATTAGGGGGACACCACCGAACCGAAATTCTTACTCCGCCCGTAGCCTCCGTCCCTTATCTCATGGATCTTGTCCACTTTTAGTTATATAAATGAGTTGTTCCACTCATCTTTTACTGTTCAACCTGACATCACAAACAAATGCATCTCAATAAGTTCGAGTCTAATGAAGATGAAATCCCTATGGATAATATCGAAAACCAAAATTTCTCTAAAAATGTAAATTTTGTATTACATTATTCAAGATGACCATATGAAAACTGAACGGTAAAATAGTACATCACATGGGGTAAGTAATTTATTATTAGAACAAGGACATCAAATTATTGGTCTTCTAAGCAGCGACCACGTGAAGAGCGTACGAATTGCTTGTTGTGCGCCTGCTGCGCATAGGTGCAATTACTTACATCATGCACATCAGTCCCTTAAGTCTTTCACTTTCGCAAAATACCCCCTCTCCTCTCCTTCACCTTTAAAAGAACCAGATCATTTCTAAATCAAGCAAAAAAGGAATGGGATCAGACTTGTCCCTAAAGTCCTCACGTACCCTATTTGAGGGAGAGGGTGGTTCTTACTACTCATGGTCAAGCTCTGATCTTCCCATGCTCAAGGAGGCCAACGTCGGAGCCGGCAAATTGGTTTTGAAACCCCTTGGTTTTGCTCTTCCGCACTATGCTGATTCTACTAAAGTTGGCTACGTTCTTGAAGGTATGAACCGTATATCTCGTCTCATTTAGTACTCCGGAACTTTTCCGTGCATCTTCTGATATCTCATTCTCTAAGTACAAATCCTATCACAACGACCCGCAAATTCTGAGCCATACAAAAGAAGTAGGGTTTGTTGGGGAAACTTGGATTTTTCCAAAAGTGAATTTTCGGGTTAATTGAGCCAAACTTTTTGATGGGTCCCACCGTCCGAAATGGATGTGAGTGAGTTTGAACGGGTTTTTCATTCAAAGGCAATGAATCTGGTATACTCATTTGTCCAAATCGGTTTCCGAATGAATGAGATATTCAAGTCGGAAGATGGACCAAAACTAAAGTTTAATGGTCTTCTTGGAGTTAAGGATCATCGGTCGGCGAGTTGTGAGGACCAGATCTCCTTCCTTGAAGCTTCTCTATCGAACCTTTTTGTCAAAGGCTCGAGAAATTCTAGCTTGGTAAAACTCAATGTGTTGTTGATCCACCAGGCGCTCTTCATCGAGCTTCTCGAGTTCTTCGAGGCGCTTCTGATGTTATTCTTCGGTCGACATCTGGGTTGCGAGAGCGATCCGAAGAGATGGGATTTGGATTTCCAATGGAAGAACAGCTTCACATCCGTATACCAGTGAATACGGGGTTGCTCCCGTTGGAGATATTCAAGTCGGAAGATGGACCAAAACTAAAGTTTAATGGGCGCATCTAATCACGAAGAGTCGCAGCTGTTCGGTTGAGTTGTGTTTGTTCGAACTAGTATAGTCACTTCTTTTTATTCCGAATGGATGCGTCCTTTGGTGAAGCGATGTCTTCAAAAGACACCTAGTCCCTATGAAAGGATCACAAAATCTCATTCCCAAAATACTCAATATTGAATCAAATCCAATGTGTAAAAGAGAGATCTGAATTTTGTGTTCGTTCTTCTTCCATTGGTTTTTCTTTCCGGTCAAGTAGTGAAAGGCACAATTAGCTTTGGTTCGCTAGTACAACTTTGTAGAAGTGCTTCTCCGAAGCTGTGAATGAGTGTTGTATCTTGGGAGACAGCGTCTGACCATCCTGTAAGCACCATAGCAGGGGACGTAATTTGTCTTAAGGAGATTCGTCACTTGACATACCTCACTCCAGCAGTTCTAAAAGTCCTTTTTAAAAGTGCTTCTTCTAAAAGTGCTTTTCCTAATTGTTATTTTTAGGAATATTTTATTCAATTTGATTTTGGTTATTGATTTAATACTGAATAATTTACTACAAAACTAATAGGGTTCAGTTTCGAGATTTTCACATTCCCCTTGTATAATCATGTACGGTGCGTCAGTTTTAACAGGATTTGTGCNGCTAACGGGTGAAAATCGTGTAAACTGCGACCATTAGTTAAGGAAATAAAGACTTAAAGAAGATAATAGCAAAGTAAACAAGCTAAATATTAAGCAGATAGAAGTAACTCTAAAAAGTTCGTAAACTCCTCACCAGTCAACAACACCGGATGAACACAGAACAAAGCTGTGTATGTCGCGACTATAGTAAGTAAAAAGAGAACTAAGAACAAGTACTAGAATATACTAGAGTTTCTAGATCATACTAGAAATGTTAGAGAGTTATCACTCAAAATAAAGCAATGAGGCTAAATAATAAAATGCTTAGAATTCAAGCTCCGAAATAAGAAATAAAGCAAGTGCTTTAAATTAAAGCTATCAAGCATACACCATTGTAGTAATTTTTTACAACAAAAGATAAAGAAGTTGAATGTTTACATCCTCCTCTTGAACCAATAAAACTTGGTAAAGGTAAAAAAGAAGTTAAAGCTACTCCTATAAAAACTCTTGAGTCAAATTCTAACTCAGCCAGACAAGAATATCTCTCTCTGGTTATTAAGCAAAATAATTTTACTAACATTCATCTTCAAACAATAAGTAAACAAACAGATAGGATTGAAAACATGCTTATCGACATGAAAAAACCTATCGTCAATCAGATATTTATGCCACCTTTTGCTCCTCAGACTTTCACTGAGAATATCAAATTAGGAAATAATAAGCCTTTTAAACTAAGTGCGAAATTAGTAATCTTACTGAAGAATTAACTCAGAGATTAAAAGACTTATCTTTAAACAAATCTCCCGCTATCAATGTTTTGTCAGAATATGAAACTCGACTAGATAATACAATTGACTATCCGTCTGATTATGATGAAACCATCCAAAATATTAGAAAATAATCTTCTAGCTCAAAAAATTACTATAGAAGACCCACTCCAGCTGATATGTAATTTGAAGAAATAACAGATAATCATAAGAAAAATTTTGATGGAAATTCTCTTGTTGAGTGGAATCTTGATGGATATACTGAATACCAAATTATACATCTGTTACAAGAAATGCTTATTTACGCTAATGCCTGTAGACAACACGGTAATACTGAAAAAAACATTGCAAGCGGAATATGTTCTTTCTTTTCTTATCAGTTGTAAGGTTGGTGGGATCATTATCTTACTCCAAAAGATAAAAATAACATTCTAAATAATTATAAACAAAACCAACTAGGAGAGCTAATTCGCGATGCAAACGGACATTATATTAGTGATGTTGTTTACACCTTACTCCTTTTCATTACCATCACTTCATTAGCTTAGCTAATAGCCTTCAAGATAAAGTTAGAGAACAACTCATGAATTTTAGGTGTAAAACTCTTACAGACTTTAGATGGTACAAAGATGTCTTCCTTTCCAAGGTCTACCAATTACATAACTGTAATAATCCTATTTGAAAAGAAAAGTTTATTTCGGGTCTTCCACCCTTATTTGCTGAAAGAATAAGAGAATCCATTAAAGAACAAAGTAATGGACGTATACTTTATGATCAAATTCATTTTTGAGAATTAATTTAGAGAGTAAATACTATTGGCCTAAAACTTTGTAATGATGTTAAAATTAACAATCAATTAAGAAACCAAAAAATACTATTGGCCTAAAACTTTGTAATGATGTTAAAATTAACAATCAATTAAGAAACCAAAACCTTTTAGGAAAAAGGGAATTAGAAACTTTGTAATGATGTTAAAATTAACAATCAATTAAGAAACCAAAACCTTTTAGGAAAAAGGGAATTATGAGATTTTTGCTATCAATTTGGTTTTCAAATGAAAAACCCAAAAATTAAAAATTGTAAAAAGCGACAGAAACCAAGAAATACAAAGAAAGAAGAAAAAGAATATCCTAAAAGAAAGACTAGAAAAAATACTAATAAAACCTCTACCTGTTATAAATGCAAAAAGAAGAGGGCATTATGCTAATAAATGTCTACAAAAAGGTCTAAAGACTAAAGTCAATGAGCTTCTATTAGACTCCAAAGAATTTACTACAAAAAAAATTAACAAGTTTGTTAATACTTTGAAACTTAGTGATGATGATTCCTCAGATCATGAAAATTTATGCAACAATCTTTGCACTTGTTTCAACTTTTCTGAAAGCTCTTCAGAAACTTCCCAGTTAAACACTTTAAGTGAACACGAACAATTTATTCTTGATACTATAGATGCTATCACTGATCCACAAGAAAAAAGAACGCAATTAACTACGTATCTTGAAATGACCAAAAATAAAGAATTTTTTTTAATAAAAGTTCTTGAAGAAAAGGAAGTCAATGAATATTATACTTTCTCTGAAATCATAAACAGAATTCAAAATAAAAAAAAGATTGAGAGTAGAGTAAATCTTGAAGAACTTCAAAAGGAACAAGGAAATATAAAAATAGAACTTCTCGGACTAAAATAAAAAATAAAAATTTTAGAAACTTACTTAGAAAATAATACCATAGATGAATCTGAAGATTTCAAAGAAATAAAAAACTTTGAGCATGAGCAAGATTTTAATGATAATGAATTTATAAATTCTATAGAAAAATATGTTGAGAAAAAATAGAAATGTAATATCATGCTTAACATTATGAATAAATATTTTGTCTAACATACAGCTCTAATCGATACTGGAGCGATGTAAATTGTATTAGAGAAGATATTGTTCCTCTAAGATTTTATGAGAAAATATCTCATCTAGTCAGTGCTGCTAATGGACAGGCTCTCAAAGCCCGATATAAAGTCACTAATGTTTACATTTGCAATGGAGATCAAAAAATTAAAACTTCTTTTTTTTTCTTTTCAAAGACCTCAAATAAGGTATTATTTTGGGAACTCCTTTTATCAATAATCTTATGCCCTTTATTGTAGATGCTTGTAGGCTGTCTAAAAATCACAATGGATAGCTGATCCTCATCAAGCTCCAACAATGAAAGTTACAATCAGATGACTTTCTTGTTACCAAAGGAAAGCTGCAATCAAAGGATTTCCCTATGGATTAAGAAGAAATTACAAGTCAACAAGAGGAAGAGTTCACCCCTACGATCAAAACACAAGTGGCTACGTTCCAAAAGTCAAGAGTAACGCAACCATTGCATCATCAGCTATCAACAAATCCTCATATTCGAGATGATTGATCTTGATGGCTGCGATAACAACATGACTAATATTATATTAGCAACTATTAGAGGCGCTGATGAGCAGTGTAATGATTTTAGAAAAGCAGGAAGATCTAGAGAACTGTGGGCAAATATTCGACATGCTGAGAAGTGCATGGTTAAAGCCATACAAAGAGATCTTAGTGGAGATCGTGACCCGCAGTTGATAGAGCGTTATTGAGATGCCTTAAATTGTCACAAATGGCCTGAATAAGACCTTCTCGAATGGTCATTGGTGTCATCCATATATAAAGATAAAGGAAGAACGCAGCCCCAAATCGCTGCAGAACGCAGCTCCAAACCGCTACAGAACGCAGCTCCAATGCAGAACGCAGCTCCAGCCGCTGCACAACGCAGCTCCAGCCACTGCAGAACGCAGCTCCAGCCGCTGCAGAACGCAGCTCCAGCCGCTGCAGAACGCAGCTTCATCCGCTGCAAACACAGCTCCAAATCACTGTGGGACGCACTCCCAAATACTGCGCTCAAGCCAGAACGCAAGTCATGGTTC